CAAGAATTCGACAGGTATGTGCAGATATTAGCCCTCAAGAACTAAGGAACGTAATCAGAAACATTCGTAAGCGCTACGACACATGTATCGAAATACGTGGTGGATTAGTAGAGGCTACTAGAATATGAGTTAGAATTAATTGTTGCACTGAATCGAAACATTTCAATAATTAGTTATTAGTTGCGTTTATTAAAATTTTTTGCTTCATTGTTAGTTGAATTGTGTAATTTTCATTGAAAATATTTACGCTATTTGTTTTTTTTTCATCTGGCGGCACTTTATTATTGAAATCATAAAAAAAATGATATATTGTGACTGTTAGCTGTGTGAGATTTTCAATTTTTGAGTTGTCATAACTTTGTTAATAATGAATATTTTTTCATGAAATTTTGAGGCACTCTGAATCCAGTGGCGTAGTGATTTTTTCAATAAAAAAATCGCTAATAAAAAATCCCGATTTTCGACTAAGAAAAAATATCGTAGTATGCCCTGAAACTTTAATAAACATTTCAAATTTTGTCCCAAGGTAGACCTTTTAGTATTTGACATTTAAAAAAAAAATATCAAAATCGATTTACAACTTCAAATTTTAGGGGGGTGTTTCCATTAAAAATGGGTCACACTGTATATAAACTCGAAAAAGATTATTGCAGTCAAGCTACTGGAAAATAATTCCATAAAAATTATGAGATGAATAGGTAAATACTACTTTGATCATTCCCATATTGATTTCAATTTAAGATCCACCGGACAGCTGTGTCCGGTCTGACACAATACACCTCTCTATACCTATCCAACAATATAAATATTGACCCCGAACAGCAAATTTTTTTTGTTTTTTTTTTATTAAAAATATAACAACAGCGTACAGTTCAACATAGTTAAGAGACTATAAATATAAAATATGTTGTTATGCTCCCTAATCAGAAAAAATGCTGGTCTTGGGATTCACCAGTGCCAACTTAGAGCTGAACACAGCAAGCACAGAGATAGTGACGAGACTTGGGGGCAAGGGAGATTGCGACCTCTTCCTCGAGTCATGTAAGTAGTTCCAAGTAATTATTGAAAATGGCTCCAAAGCAGGAGCCGAAACGTCAAAAAGATGAAAATTATAAACGAGGTTCAACCCGGACAACAGTATGTCAAATATTGACCGCGGAAATCTATCCGAATAGTTTTAACAAAATTTCAAACTAATATTACACATATTATCTTTTACTAACATACCTAATCCATATAAAAATTACAAAAATCAGAAAAACTATCTATATATCACATAGAATACCAGTTGAAAACAACGAATGAAAATTCAAATAGAAAATAAAAAATATTCAATTGGCAAGAAGTATCCAAAAAAAGAATGGTTATTTTTATAACTTTTATCAATGATGTACCAAAAATGGTTTATATGTTAATACTTCTAAATCATTTTATATGCAATTTCAGCAGGAGAATATAATTATGACTTTAAACCCACTCATTAAAATGAATCAGAGTCAATTCAACTGGTCCAACATATGTAATTTTTTTGTATAAATATTGACAAAAACCTGTTCCCAGTATGACGCATACCGCGAAAATTCCGGATATATATATATATATATATATATATATATATATACAGATATATATATATATATATTTAT